ACAAGGAGAAAGACAGAGAAAACTACTCAGATTTCATGGAGAAGATACGACAAAACTTAAAATTTATATATAAAAGCAAAGTCATACAATTTTCAATAAGTAAATACAACTTATCTCTAAATCCTCCCCAAGCAAACTCCTCAAAGTTTTTCTGAATCTCTTCCTTTCTTTACAACACACAAAATTCTCCTTCGAAGTGGCAAGGAGGAAGAAATCTCTCACTTTCCTTCCACTCTTACAATCTCTCAAAGAATTCCTCACAATACTAACCACTCTCTACACTCTAATGGGCACCACAAACAACAAAGACTCAGCGGACCTACCTAGGCACCCCCTTTTTCGACCTCCAGATGTTTCTTTTAAAGTTATAGAAGAGTTCTCAAGAGTTGCCCAAGCGTCCCTTCAAAAATCTTCCACATTCAATGTATCTATTGAGAGAACTGACGTGCTCGCCGTCGACGACCTCGATGGCGCCATCAGCGGCCTTCTAGAATATTTAATTATGGACTATCGAGAAAAACCCGTCGTAGCCGTCGGCTGCGTCGAGCCCGCCATCGGCGCCCAAGATCAAATCTTCATATTTTGATCATTTTTGCTCCAAATTAGCTCCTTTTTGCATCTTTTTGCTCCAATGACCATAATTCAACATATCTGCAACAAAACATCAAAAATATCTTTCTTTAAAGTGCAATATCATCAAAATTAGTGTAAAATAGGTATGAAAATCTCAACATATTTTCTTTTGGTCAATGTTTAAGGAAGAAATCCTCATTGTGTTTGTTGATGGGACATTAGAGACATTGCTTTCTTATGCGGGTAACTAAGGTGTTTGTGTCTGGTGTCATTCAAAATACTATGATGTAGAGTAGAAAATTGATAAAGATTATGTTTAGTTGGGACAACCAATAGTGTTTGTTGCTTTGACGGCCTTGAATGCAAAAATTGTCAGCATCAAATATAAATTGACAATTATTATCCTTTGCAAGTTTATTTACTAAAACAAGTTTATATGAAAGAGAGGGTGCAGATAGAAGAGGAGAGAGAACCAACTTACGCTTAGGGGTGGGTATAATATCAATTCCAGTGTGTGAGATGTCATTAGTTTGACCGTTGCCTATTGTAACTATGTCAGTGCCTTTATAAGGAACTGGGTGATGCAGACTCTCATTATAAGGTGTAATATGTGCGGTGACTCTAATATCCAATATCTAGTCCTATTTTGGAGAGTAAGTATTGGTCACTAGAGCCATTTGGTGTGGTGGGATGGTAGGTTTATATTGTAGATCTATGCCAACATGCTTCCGTTATGTGTCTCTTCTTGTAGCAAATTTGACATGTAGGAACATGTTTCTAATTGGTTTGATTGCTGGTCAGATTCTATTTAGAAAAGTTGGAATTTTTGTTGTTGTTTCTTGAAGCAGACTAATTTTTTTGGTCCTTTGAGTGAACAAAGCTGCAGAGGCAATAATTTTACTTGCTTCATTTGCAAGATTTGACTCTTCAATGTATAGTAATGAATATATGTTTCAAGGCTAATGGGATTCAGTTGAGTCCTTATAGCTGTTTTGAATCCTTAAGCTCTGTCGTAGACCATTTAAAATGTATAACATGATATCTTTATTGTTAAGTTGCGAACCCATTGTAGCTATATTATCTACATAGTTATAATTTGGGCAAGATATTGCGTCGTGTTATATGTACCCATTGAAAAGTTGTGCAACTTGTTATTGAGTTGAATAACACATGAGCAACTGGTGGATTGAAATCTTCTTTCTAAAGTTCTCCAAATTTTTTGCATGCTGTTGAGATCGTTGATGTAGAATAAAATGGAAGGAGAGATTGTTGATATCAAGGCAACACAAGAGTGATATCTATCAGTTGCCAGAGATGAAATTCTTCTGACTCCCCTTGCAATACATTGGATGGTTGATAAAATCTTGAGGAGATGTGGGCTTGGAGATCCAAATTTTTTTAAAAACCATTAACATTGAATAGTTTTTGAATTTACAATCTCCATATCTGATAATTTTCATAGGACAATTGCTGATTTATCATGGTCTTGATGTGGGGCATCAAGAACTTGAGAGAGGATGGGATATTAATTTCTTTGATTCTTTTAAGTGTTCCACATGATGAAGATTGAGTTGAAGATGCTGAATCCAACATAGAAGAGATGAATGACACTTAGAATTTTTTCAAAGAAAGATTGAGGGGTTGGAAGCCTTGTGTCTATGATACCATGAAAGCTAAAAGATCCTGAAGCAGAAGATGGGAGAATTGAAGAGCAGAGAAAATGTCTGAAGGAAAATAAGTTTTCTTTTATTATTTCGTTATATCTATGAATACAAATATACTTGTATTTAAATGACATACTTGTAATTACAGGGAAAATAGAGATGTGCATAAATGACTTTTATACAGAGCAAGTCCTAGTTATCCTTAAGACACAAATACTCGAAAAGGCGAGACCACAAGGAGATAGAGGCAGGGAGCAACAATCTATCTCAACCACAGGTAAGATCTCTTTTAGAGAACCATGTCCTTGAGGTTTATCAGAGGTTTCAAAATATCGACCACTTCACACATGAGTGGCTTGGTTTTAGGATCCCGATCAAGGCACCAGTTCGCGAGCGAGAACCTTATGCGAGGCTTTGAAGGACAAATGACCAGTGAGATGTAGAAGTGTCCCATTCCTTTTAGGGAGGGCTTGGTGGCCGCTATTAATAAGATTTATCGATTATATTTATTAAATTCAATCAAAAATTAAATACATAAATTCTATGGATCTATATAAGTTTTGATTTAATGTCTGAATTCTGCATTCGATTCATGTTAAATCCGAATTTAATAAATTCAATAAAGAAATGAATTTAATAAATCCAGATTTACTAAATTCTACTAATGCATCCAAACAACCCTTTGATAGGGCTGAGCCTGGTGGGTGGGTGGCTCGTGCACAATTCGGGCTACTTTTGTATAGTTATGTATTTATGTAAAGTTTCTATATAAAATTAGTATTAAAATTAATAGTCATAATTAAAAATATACAAGGGTATTATAATCTTTAGTATTAAAAAATTATAGTTAATAGTATTAAAAATCACATGAAAATGTTTCTATTCTAAAATTTTTCTTAAGGAAATTTTTATGATAGGAGGTGCTCACCCAAAAACAAATCAAGGAAGTTTTTTCAAACGAACCGGAATCGGTCTATGTGAGAACGATCAGCAAGGCTCCGCCCTAATAAACCTTCTGTCTAATCCGGCGCAAGGGTTTACCTGCGGCTGCCTCTAGAGAACCCGCCTGTGCCTCAGCGGAAAGAGCGAGTTAGGGTTTAATCCTCATGTCTGGCCCCGGCTTGCATCACTTCCAGCAGCAATGGGCTCCGCTTCAGCCCCCGCAGCCATCAATCTCTACTCCTTCAGCCATCACCGTGGAATTCCCTGTCCGCCCGACCTCTGAAGAGGTACCCTAACCCTATTCTCTGTCTCGAATGCCTATTCTCCGATCTTCTTCTCTCTCGTATTGCAATTTTTCTAGGTTCGGACGATCTTCATTGCTGGCTTTCCTGCCGACGTGAAGGAGAGGGAGCTTCATAACCTTCTGCGCTGGCTCCCTGGTTTTGAGGCTTCTCAGATTAATATGAAAGGGGATCAGCCAATGGGTTTCGCTCTATTCTCAACTGCCCAGCATGCTGTTGCCGCTAAAACTGCACTCCAGGTGATTTTATCATCACCTATATTTCCTGTTGTTTTGCTTTTATTCATGATCCCTAGAGTATGCTAAAGTTTTCAGTATTTGGTTAGGACTTGGTGTTTGATTCGGCGACAAATTCAACTCTTCATATAGAGATGGCTAAGAAAAATCTTTTTGTTAAGAGAGGTAGGGGCATTTGAGATATCATTTCCTAGCGCAATCATTTTTGATGGCCTTGCTAATTGTCCTACACAACTTAAACTCTATGATTACTTGGCATTGATGAATTCCTATATGTAGCTTTTTTGTTTGTCCGTGCCAGATTCTGTGTTTAAAAGCTAATTATTTGTTAATTGTGAAGTCCAAATTTTCCTCTACAATAAAAGTTCAAATTCTTCGATAATGACATGTTCAGAAGTTTGTCCCAAGTTTGATTTTTATGTTTAGATTCAAAGAAAATGGTTAATTTGTTACGTGTTATAGCATTAGCCTGCTCGAGCATCGATTTATAACTTATGCACAAATCTCGCCGAAAAGCTTTTCTACTTTAATGCATGCCAAATTAATTTACGTTTTGAGAACTTTAGATTAGCAAAAACATGTGAGATATTAGTACTATTTACAATTAATTAATTTATGGGTCCGTTTGGCGGGGCTTTTCTGTGCGCGGTGCGGCGGGAGGCCGCAGATAGACTCATTTGGGGCGGCTTTTCATCTGCGGCGACCGCAAATTTGAGCGAAAAGTGGGCCGCGGGATCGACCCCACGGCTCTGCTTCGCCCCCGCGGCTCTGCTTCGCCCCCGCGGCTCTGCTTCGCTCCCGCGGCCCAACTTCCCTCCTTACGCATTTTACCCAGGTGCCCTCATTCTGCCTTCCTTTTGTTCGGCTGCCATCCTGGTTCTGCAATCCCGATTTCTGCATCTTGGCCGTCGTTCTCCTCCTTCGTTGTTTCAGCACCTAAAGCTCCCGATTCCATGAAAATTTTACTGTGATCCTGGTCGGCTTCCTAAAGCTCCTGATTCCATGAAAATTTTGTTCTTCCTCCTTCGTCGTTTCGGCTACGATCCTGGTCGGCTTCCCTCCTTCCGCATTTTACCCAGATGCCTTCATTCTGCCTACCTTGCCTTCCGCTGCGATCCTGGTTATGCGATCCCAATTTCTGCATCTTGGTTCGTCGTTCTCCTCCTTCGTCGTTTAAGCACAAGTCCATTCTTATTGAGCCATATATCTTCCATGAAAATTTATTATGAAAATTTATTCTCTTATGGGTGGTATAAATGAAAGATTTGGGTGGTATAAAGGTATAAAGTGAAGTTTAGGTGTTATATATGTAAAAACATAGTAATTGGATGATTTTGATGCAAATGTTCCAATTTATTTGGAAGCCTACGGAACATTGTCAATTCTGAATCAGTTGTGATTGTGCTTGAAAATCTTAAACCATACAAAAATCTAAAGAGTTTGTCCATCTCGCCTCGCCTGTGTCGCCGCGCCGCCCGCAACCCTCGTTCGTTACCGTGCGTGTTCTTCTTCGTTCTTTTTGAATGTTGGGTTCATTTGTAGCCCTATGTCACCGTAGCATTCATGCATCAGTGGTAAAAAATGGTAGTTGGTTAAAGATAGCCTGATTTCCCGCAGCTGACCCACCGCTGTTTTCACACTGCTGCACCAAACAGACAGCCTGATTTCCCGCAGCAGCTTCTCTACAATAGCTTCCTGGGGCAGCGCAGCTGCAGCTGCGCCCAACAGAGCCCCAGAGCCTACAACACAACATTTTTCTCCATATTATATTTTTGTGATGTTGAAACAAATTGATTCTTTGAAACAAATATAATTTTTTGAAGCTCATGTTTTGTTAATGTTTCCGAAGTTTTCATTTTCATAATTAGTGCTATTTTCATTTATTCAGTAAGCTTACTGCCATAATGCTTATTCATTAAGTATTTGGCATCAACTTTGTCAATGTTTTTTTATTAGAAATATTTTTTTTGAGCAAACGTGATGCAAGGAAGCAACGAAGTAAACCTTAAGGTAATGGTTTGGGTGAAAACAACATAAATATACGGATGTTGCGTGAAAGTGACCAAATTATATGAGAAAATGACTAAAGTGTGGAAAAGTTGCAAACTCTTCAGTTTCGAGTTCCACACTTGAGCATGGACATTGCATCTAAAAGGAATTTAAAGTATTACACTTAATCATGTACTTCTCATCCATAGCTAAGGGAAAAATCTTTATTCATTATTAAATATGTTATTATTGTGAATTGATAATAGTAGTTTGATTGTCATTTTCAAAATTGTTTTTTAATAAATTATTTAGATTAAAATTTATAGATTATCAGTTTCTTTTTTGCGATCTTTAAGTTATTATCAGTTCAAGCCCTAGAAGTTAAAAATTATTTCAAAATGTTTGAGAAAAGTTACAATTCACTAAGATCATCAAAGAATCACTTAGAGTTAAATGAACGATAAATGTATGAAGCTATTTACTACAGTTTCTTTGTGGGAAATTTTTCTGAATTTGATTCACAATTTGTGAAAAGAATATGATGGGTTTGGATACTTTATGCTACATGACATCAGCAGCAAAATTTCAAAATTGACCTTTGCTCTATGATGAACAGCAATGTGTTGGAAATCAGGAAAACGTATTGCAACTTATGACTTATATTTTACATATGATGCATAGTTTCCTTTAAGCTTATTGCTAGTACTCATTCTAAGATGGATATTGTCTTTCTAGTAATACAATTCAATCTTGAAAGTTGTTTCATCATATTTTGACTAAGAAAATTGTATGGTAAAATATGAATTATAATGTAAATTTCTCATCTTCATTCAAATTTGCATGTTAAACTACTTTAGAATCTGCAGTGAACTTCATGAATTTTCTGTTTATCCCTTCTCATATTTCTTGTAAAAATAAGAATAAAGAGACGATGTATGATAAAAAAGTAATGCTTGGTAAATATCCTAAATTTAATTATCAAACGTAAAATCATAAAAATATGTTGACTTATAATAAATTTTTTTATTATATTTAAGTTGAAATGAATAACTTTTGAATTGCCAGTGAATAGTTATTAGATAATAACAGCGGAACAATTATCAATTAATATAAAACAGCGATATGCTGATTTTTATCATCACTATTTAATTGAAACACATAAAATCAATTGCATTTTTGTTTGGAGGCAAAGTAAAACCTAAAAAATATATTGTAGCAATTACCATTATCAGTTAAATGTTCATAACCACTACTCAACGAGTCTCCAGTTTACAATTTACTTCAATTATAGTTACAACTTTTAGTGGAATAGTCATACAAAAGGATATTTTGACTTTTCCATTTTAGTTAATGTTTTCTGAGCAAACGCTTGTTGTGACTTACTCTAAAGAAAAATAAACAGAAATAAACTTGGAACATTCAAGCTCTTATTTTATTTTATTGTTATTATTATTGTCTTTTGAAACTTTACTTTCAGTTTCACAGCTTTCTTTTCTTTGGATATTCACAAAGCCTATAGGCCATGTTTGGATTCAATTTTGTTTCCTGTGTGTCTTCTGCTTTGAAAAATAGTTAATGAAGTAAGGGCAGGTTGGTTATATATATATATATATATATATATATATTATTTAATCCTATTAATATTTTAGTTTTGATGTCATTTTAAACAGAATCATAACTACATGTGTATTTGTTTCATATTCTTGAATCTAAAGCACATTCAAAAAATAATTTTTTTTTTCTATTTTAGAGAGCAATAATCAATGAGGGGCTTCGTGGGGACTCGGACAAGCATAGAAAATCTAGGAGTAATGTAACAATCACTGGAGTTTTCGATGAGGGGCTAGGCATGTGAGCAATGAGATTGTTGTATGGTAGGAAGGAGCTCGGGTATAGTTGCGGTTTTATCACAGGATAAGAGTAGGGGAATAGGTGTTTTGGAGACAAGTGAAAACTCCTCATGCAATGTTTTTAATATTTTTAGTAACACACTAATTTGTTTCCAATACAAAAACAAGAACAACTTACCACCATGTTTCCTAACATAAGCCTTTGGTTTAGGCGCAAGGAAATAGCCTCCGATCTTACACCTTACCAGGAATTATGGGACGCACACCTCACATAATTGGGGTGTGCCTCATTGAGGCCTCTAAATTGAGGCAAATGCCCCAATTATTCATGCAAACCTAATACATCCGAACAAAATGCTCACCGTTAGGGTGCGAGTGAAATTGAAATCCTTATGTCCAAGTTAATACAAAGAGAAAAAATTGATTACCTTACGGATTAACTCATTGGTTTATGCAATGTTTAAAGAGGTAAAAATTTAAACATTTGAGCAAGAAAGCTCCTTTGGTTATATTATTGTACCATTGGATGGGGAATAGTTTGTAAGAATGAAAATGACATTTCACATCCACAATTGTAAGTGCAAGATCTCAAAAAACAACTTGAGTATAAAACAAAAAAAAAATGTAAGAGAAAATATTAATATTAAAATTTCTGTAGTAAGAATTAGAATTTCTAATATTGTTATTATTTTAAGGATTTTCTTTATTAAAGAAGAGAGATAATGTTGATATTGAAAATGATGAGGATTATTGGGAAGATATTGATACTAGCAAGAGCGAGGGAAGAGTAAAAATGATCAACTATTATAATGATTTTAATGAAGGCCCTCTAAATTTTGGAAATCAAATAGAATTCAAAATTTATGATATTAGTTGAATTTATTATGTTGAATTGGGAGTAGGTGAGGTTTGTTTATTATAGACTTCTTGTTTATGGTTACTAGTGTATCTTATAAACTCCATGCTTATTTTTAGTACATGCATGAAGTTTATGATCTTTGATTTTACTTTGCTTGTTATTTGATATTTTAATTAATTTAATAGTCTAGTTTCGAGGTTCACACATCAAACTAACTTGAGGCTTTTACCTCTTCTTACAAAACGAAATTGCTTCGATACCCGATTGCACAATTTCAAATCATGATTTAAGTAATTTTTTTTTTTAAAACATAAAAAATGAAAATGAAAACACTAGTAAACATGCTCTGAAAAGAATGTTTGACACTATTAAATCCATATTTTTGGAAGTAAAACAAAGCATTACCTCATTGGCTTTATCTCAATTATTTAGGATTGATCCCTTTTTTCCTTTCATTCTTGCAAAGTGCTATCTAAGATGTTAAATCTATTCTTCTTAAATCAGTTTGAACATCTTTGTCCATATCACTATAATTCTTTATCTTCTCCTTTATGATATCTTTACACTAATCTATATTTTATGAAGGCACAACAAGAGGGAATTTTATAATCAAAATATCAAAACAGGAAGAGAGTTTTATTTCAAAATGTTGCTCTACACAATATTTTAAAATTTCTATCCATCAATGTATGCTTATTTTTTTGTTTAAAATGAGCCCCTCTTCGAAGTTTTCTATTCACTCGATGATTTTTTTTTCATTCCATAAGTTACCATGAAATGGTGGCCAAATCATAACCAACAAATTTATATATTATTTAATACAATCCATATTATCATGCCATCTTTTTTTCTCTAATGGTTTAAAAATGTAACTTTTTTAATTATTTAATAAAAAAATAGAGAATATCTTGTATCATGAAAATCTTGCATAGGGCAAAGATCACTTGAAAAAATGAGGCTCTTTAACCTATTGTCATGAGAGTTTCTTGTATCATTCCCCTTTTGTTATATTTTGTATGTATTTTTTATTACTTCAATATTAAACGGATTTATGTGCCTATGAAAAAAATGATGGTTGTATTTTCTACTTAACAAATTAAAAGCTGTTCACAAGTCTAAACAACCAAGTGATGTTCTTGATATATTCTCATACATTTAAGATTAGTTACTTTATATCAATTTTATAGTTTGAGGTTTTATTTGATTTTTATTTGCTACAATCTTAAATATGTTAGAAGTTATATTAGGAAATAATTTATTCCTGTGAAAAATTATGAGGATTAGATTTATTTCCAAATATAATTTTATTTCCTTGGATTGAATTTATTTCCTTTCCTATTTTATGTTGTTTCCTCTATCTCCAAATAATTATTATAAATAAATTAATTAGAGATATTAGGTGTTATATCTTTTCTTTCCTGTTATTTTTTTTTGTCTTTCCTATTTCAGGATTCATGTAAGGGTTATTTATAACTTCTTTTCATATCAAATATACTCTTTTGATTTATTCTGAAATTCAACATGATATCAGAGCTAAATTCCCTTCCCTAGTCGTCGGTCCTCCCTCCAGAGCCGTCGGACTGCCTTCTTGGAAGGGAGGGACACTTTCTCTCTCTGCAGGTTGTCCGGAGATCCTCGCCTCCGGAGTAGATACCTGCAGCCCCTCTGATGCATTGCCTCTTTTTTTACTGTGCTTTTGCACGTTTCTCTCCCTTCCCGATCTGTCGAGCCGGAAGTTGCAACTTTCCCGGTTTCCAAACACCATGAGTTTTCATTTTCAGGGGAAATCCTGACTCACAAGAATGAGTTTCTCTCTCTCTAGTGGAAATTCTGATGTCCTCCGGGGTGATTTTCTTTCTCTACTGGAAATCTCGATCTTGTAGAGGTGGTGACTTTCTCTCTCTAATGGAAATCTCGATCTGCCTACCAGATTTAGTTCCTCTTTCTTGCAGAAATAAAAGGAGGACATCTTTTCCTTGTCTTCCTCGTTGGTTCTCCAGTCTCCGCTGGCTTCTTTGCAGGTTTCACCCGGTGATCGTTCCCGCATGATTTTTGCAGAAAACATAGATTGAGGGGACGAAGGAAGCTGATATGGGAGAAAGAAAAGGAGGAAGAACATGAGTGAGTTGGTGGCTTGCACAGGTCGACATTAGCAGCGATACGAGGTCGTTTGTCGGCTTATTGCTGGGTGTATACCCTTTAGGTATAAAAACTCTTATGCTGCTGTTAGCAGAAATCCTGAGAAAACTATTGAAGTCCTTATGATCAATTCACAAAGTGGTCTTGGTTTGTTTCCCAAGAGAGGATGGGAAAACGATGAAACTGTTGAAGAGGCAGCCTTGTGGGAAGCACTTGGGGAAGCAATACTTAGCGGAAAACTTAAAAGATTTTTTGTGATATTATTATTTTCGCAGCAAAATTCTTCAGGATGAGTTCAGTTCAGAAGGATTATGCAAAGGTGTAATGTTCCCATTGTTGGTCACAGTGGAACTCTGCTCATGGCCAGAATAGAGTACTCGCCAAAGGAGTTGGGTTACTATTCCTGAGGCCGCAAAACAATGTATACATCCGTGGATGGAGGAGGCTCTTGTTGAGGGACTTTCAAAGTGGCACGCTAAAGAAACAAATTATGTAGGTGATGTTTGAGCTCCCCCTAGGAATGCCAAATCTCTCCCTGCATGTCCCTAGTAGTTGGAAATCATATTTGTCGGCCAGAGAACTTCTTTGCAGATTTTACCAACACCTTCTTGCAGGTCGAAAATTTCGACAACTACCTCTGTGGCATCCTCCTCCATTTCACACGCATGGATTGTGGAAACGAATGGATGCCTCTTACGATGGAGTTCATTTTTTGGTTTGCTTTCAAAACAACACGAGAAAGGTTATTAGAGAGGCGAGACTGGATGTATCCTTGAATGCAATCCCAGCAGACAACCTACATGCCCTTCTCTGTTGGCTTCTTCCTTGTTGCCGAAAAACTCTATGTAGCAAGTTTTCCACTATAATTTTTCCTACGACAGACCCACTTTCGGAGCCTTTTCCTGAATCAGGTCTTACTCTGGAACTCTTTATCGTAACAGATTCTCCTCTAGAGTTTTTTTCTGTATCAAGCCTCCAGAGCTTTTCCTACAGCAGGTCCTCTTCCTGCTGCAGGTCATTCACCGAAATTCTTCCTGCTGTAGGCCCTTCTTCGGAGCCTTTCTTGTAGCAAATCCTCCATTGGAGCTTTTTTTACAACTGATCCTCCAAAATTTTTCTTGCAGCAGACTCTCTAAAAATTTTTGTGCAGCAGACCCTCTGGAATTTTCTCTACAGTAGACCCTCCTCTAGAGCTTTTCATGCAGCAGACCCTCCTCCGGAGCTTTTCTTGCATCTTTTCTAGAGCTTTTTCTGCAATAGACCCTCCTCTGGAGCTTTTCTACATGCTGTTTACTTCCCTGCAAACTTCCATGCAACATTATTTGTAGGAGTTTTCTGCCTACCTACAAATACTGTAAAACTGCAGTCGACAACAGCCGCAGTTAACTAGAAGTCTGTTTTATTGTAGGTTGTCTATTTTTCTGCAAGCTGCCCTGCAACATTACTTATAGGATCCTTCTACCTATCTATAGACACTGCAAAAACTGCAGTCAAAGACAACTGCGGTATAAGATGAAAACTTCAAGTTCTACCTCACAGATTTTTTTTGCCCATTGATGTTTTTAATCCAAGTTGAACATGATTTTCAATCATGTTTCAACTTGTGGGGGAGTGCTAGAAGTTATATTATGAAATAATTTATTCATGTGAGAAATTATGGGGATTATATTTATTTTTTGATTTAATTTTATTTTCTTTCTTATTGGTGAGTTATTTTCTTGGATTAGATTTATTTCTTTTCCTATTTTAGTCTTTCCTATTTTATGTGGTTTTCTTTATCTCCAGGTATTTATTATGAATTGATTAATTAGAGATATTAGGTGTTATATCTTTTCTTTCTTGTTATTTTTTTTTTCTGTCGTTTCTATTCTATGATTCATGTAAGGGTTGTTGATAACACATTTTCATATCAATAATACTTTTTCACATTATTGTGAATTTCAACAAAACACAACTTCCCATCATTATTTTTAAGGACAAAAGATGCATTTTAGCATTGAGTTAATGGGCGTTGGATGTAAATGTAACAGTATCAAGAAATTTGATGTTTTATCAAGCCTCAAAGGGCTATATGACAGTTAGTTAAGCCTCAGAAGATATAAATGATAATTATCTTGACAGATCTAATAAATTGATGGTTAACTTCTGGCATTCATGGAGCAAGGCTATTGATAATAGTGTGATTGGGAAAATGGTTGCCTAAGATTACTTCTAAAGATAGAAATGTAAGCGAATAAGGATAAACTTGTTGGCGTTTTAGAAAAATCTGACCATTTTGTTTATGGTAAATTCGTTCACGTTATTTACTTTTTACTTGATAATTTAGTGACGGTGAGAATTCTCAAAAAGAAGATACTGAGGACAAAATTCCCAGCCATCTCTTGATTGTTGTTTTCTAGTGGTAGCATGGTTTATCATATCTTCTTTATTGTTTACCATGAATTGTTGTGCCAACGGCTAATTTTTAATTTCTTGGTCAATTATACTTGAACTATATTCTATTTGCAGGCATGGGAGCTGATTTCAGCTCCTTAGACCAAAGCAAACGCATAAGAACTGGTGGAGAGTATGCTCAATCTGGTTATCCAAGTCCTCCCTTCCCCCCACAGACTCCTTCCCTTTGGACAACATCAGGGTATTTTTGTTTTCATTTCACTTTTTAGGTAGTTATGACAATGTTTTCTTACCAAAAATTTTTTGTTTTTTCCGTTTACCTTGTATAGGTATATGGCTCCTCCTGTTCTGTATGCCCCATATGGAGGCTATCCAGTTACTCAGGTGGCTTTACCTACCCCTGTTTCTGTGCCAGCTCCAACTGTCTATGCCCCTGTTCAGGTCTGACCAGTACCACCTTTTTCTGATTGGAAATTGGCTATTACTGTGTTATATGGCTCCTCTTTTTTTTTATGCTGTGATTAGTAAGTTGAAGTGATAGGGAAAAGAAAACATTGTCATACCTACCTAAAAAGTAGTTTATTAAGAGCATCAATTCTTAATAAGAATATATTAAATTATCAAGTAAAAATTAAATAAGAGGATTATCAAGTAAAATACCTCCTGAGATAGTGGTCGTTTATTAAGAGCATAAGAATATATTCATTATATTAACAATTTGATAGGCTCCAAGTCAATTAGGAATTGATTTGGAGGTATTTTATTCTTTGCATATCTCTCTTTTTTGTTAATATGCTCTTAATAAACGAGGCTCTTGAATTAATAGTTAAGGAGCATCGTTTATTAGCATGTGGATTTGTTTTTTCCTTTGAGAATCTAGGGGCTGTTTGGAGGCCTGTTTTAAGGAGGATTTATGAAGGATTTAAGCTAAATTTTTCCAAACGGGAAAAAATTACTCCGTAAATCCTAAGCTCCCGTAAATACCATAATGTCACTGATTCGCGAACTAAATCCCGTGAATCATCATATTGAGTAAATGCGGGACGAGTAAAGAGGAAGAATGGCGCGAACAAGCTTACCTTTCTCAATGGTTTCTAGTCGGAGTGGAGTGGAAGCATGAAAAAAATGGGAGTTTCGTTGTTCTCTGTGAGCCACGATCACGTGGTTGTCTTCCCAACTAACTCTAATGGTGATTGTATAGTGAATGTTTGTTCATGAAGGCGATGGTTTCGGGCGAAAACAATAGTGACTTAAATTCAGGCAGAGATGGGAAGTCTGGGCGAAATTGGAAGAAGGGGAGAATGTAAACGAGGGTTTCAGACAGAGAGGGGAAGAGGGAGATAGGTTTGAGATTTTAATTTATTTTTATTTAAGTTAATTTTATTCATTTAATTGATTAATAATTAAAAAATAATTTATATATTATCAAATTAATTATAATCAATAAATTTATATGTAATTTTAATAGTTAATTAACAAATAAAAAATATTTTAAAGTTTAAATTATTTAATAAAATTATAATAATTCTTAATTTATATAATTAATAATTTATTAATGTTAAATTATCACTTAATAAATAAATAGTTTGCACAAAAAAATATTAATTATTAATTTATATAACTATTTATTGATTAATGTAAAGGTCTTTTTTTATACAATTTGAGGCTTTCGATACTCATTTGTATTTTTTGATTTAATCTTTGTCTTTGGATGCTTAATTAATCCTGATAAATCCTGCTAAATTCTTCTAAAGCTGTCAAACAACTTTTCAGAATTTATGAAGATTTACTTACATATCATACAGTTTTCAGAATTTAATCACCTCAAGATTTGATAAATCCGAATTTACAGGATTTACTAATTCCTTTTTAAATTAAATTCTACTTGCAACCAAACATCCCCTTACTGTTTCTTTTTGGTTTCACCGTGTCTTCGTTCTGAACTAAGCATCTATGACAAGCTAAACCATGTAAACTCAATTATGCCCTACTACTTCCCCTTGGCCTTGTTTGACAGTGTGCCTTCTGAAAAAGGAATCTTAACTAAGGCAGTATTTTGTGGATTTGTGTGTCAGTCAGTCTGAATAACTAGTTTAATACATGCAATAACTATGAATTGTTGCTATGTAGCCAGGTCATTTAAGTAAATGCCTATTTTTATTTTTGGGGATTCAACTTTAACAATTGATAGTTTCCAAGAAGAAGGGTTTGATAAAATTGATCATATTCATAAAAAATAATTCTTCTATGGATATCTAAAGTATGCCTTTTTTATTATTTTGAAGTATTTGTGTGGTTCTTATTTTCCTTTTCATTTGATCTCACAAGTTGATAATGCATGCCTTCATATGGTGCTATTTCTGAGCTTGAAAGGCGTATAATGAAGTCAAGAATTAATTTTTGAAGCTATGCTTTTATTGAAAATATACATGATAAGAGTATTGACTAGCTTTAGATGCACTTCGTCAAATAATAAGAGTTCTGAATTGCTTGGCATCACGTCTTATGTCGGTTTTAGAGATGCTTACAAGGGATTTTTAAAGTGAGGTATGCTCTATCTTATTTACAAATGAATGAAATGATATGATTCCATTTGATAGTTCTTTTAGTGAAATTTTAGAACAATAGTGGCATGTTTTGGGGTTAGGATTATTAGAATAAATATTGGATTCAAGTCGCAAACATTTTGACGCAAAGCCTCAAAAGGACATCCTTAAATAAATTTAAAATAGTAAAATTAAGATGCACTTGTAATAATTTTAAATCATAATATAATATTAAAATAGTCTTATAAGCGCTCAATGATAAGGAAGAAACCTAAGATAAACAAGTAAGTATAATTGCCGATTTTATAATAAACTTACTATAATGTATCACTCTAAATTTAAAAGTTTGTCCTACTTCCATCACTTAATGGATTCTTATTTAAATCATTATTATATTTGATTGCTTTTTTCCCCATCATCACCCATATCAACCTCTATTTAATCTTCATCATCTTCGATCTCAATCCACTTTCTCTCCTTTTATCAATTAAATTAAATAAGAATATTATTTAAAACCATATCTATATTATTATTTTTTTATAATTTATGTTACATGGAGCTTCATAATTTTTTTTTTTATTATTTTCTTGTCTACTTTTGTTTTTTTCCTTCTATAAAAAATGTCAACATTGAGAACTTCCTTGTATAATTATAACGATGAAACTTTACTTTCATCCTTCACTAACCATTCGCCATTCAAATGCACATCATTAATAGGCAAGGGATCTTTATCATCCTTCATAATTGTTTTTTCAAAGGTTTATATTTTAATCTATTGCTATATATTACCGGTTCACATAGTGTACACAAGTGCACGTGCCGCTCAAGTAATATAGAATGAGTGGAATATCATTCTCACGAGGATCATAAGTAAAACTTGGATATATTAGTTATTAATTTTATGTTAATCTTTTCTTATTCAACCACTTCAATTAACTTAATTGAAACAGTATTCTGCTGAAATAAAATATGTAATGACTTGGATTTAGCAATTGGAAAGAGAGCACCCGAATTTATAATTTTGGTCTACTAGTTTTCATCCCTTTCTTAAGTTGAAAATAAATAATTTGTCAATAATGCATGATTTTGTTTTTTGATCATCTTTGATAACTTAGAAACCATAATCGTTCAATCTAATTCACTATATATGTATATGAAGGAGACAAATTGATTGTATTATGAGCTTTATTTTAAGGATTGCAAATTTCTTATTAATTCCTACTCAAGAAATTTATTTCTTGTTGTTCCTATATGGCTTCCAATATCTATAGATCACACTAATTTTTAAATATGCAAATGACCAATATGCAAATTAAATGAAGATTGAAAATAAATTGAGAAATTTTAATGAAGATTGTACAATAAATATCATAATTAAACCATAAATCCAGATTTTACACACGTTAGTTTATGCTTTCAAATAAAAAATCCCAAAGAAATGTTAACATCATTTAAAGATCCACTAAACAACGAGTTGGAAAAAAAAAAAAATTGAATGAATTTTTTGCTTCTTATTTGCTTCTTAAAATTTCTCTCTTCTTTCTCTCCTTTCTTTCTTGTGCTTCCTACTCCTCACGCTTGCTTCCTACTTCTCACACTTCTCTCTCACTATTGACACTTAGACGCTTACTTTGACATAATTCCCTCGCCCCCATGTCCTCTAACTTTTTGAGAACCACTGAATAATGCCCGAAATCTGCTCTAAAACCATCTTAAAACTTAATTATCAGTCCTGCCGCATTTCATCTTTGGGAATGTAGTACTGTAATGTCATATGTAGTATTGCGGCGCTCACAAATAGCTCCAAGGCACATTGTTCTTTGTCTTTTTGTTTGAATCTTATTCCTTCCATAATGCGATTCTATGGTGCATTGCTCTCAGTTTAGAAGTTTAGAAGTTTTCTTGTCAAAATTCTCACGTTTCTGGAATTTGTCTTCAATTTTCTCAGTGTTATGTCATTGTATGATTAGTGCTGAGACACTAAATTCCTAGCATCGCGGACCTGTGGTGCTAACTCTCGGGTTCTTTGGCTTTTTTGTTGTTGTTCTGGCGCTGAAGCTCTGTTAAGTACAACACTGCGACACTATTTTGTAAATTAAAATTTTCTTATATAGTAAACACTGCCGTTGCCGGTCCCAAGCCCGGATGAGAAAAGTGGAGGGTTGCGTTAGGTAGTCGACAGCCAGCGTAAAACTTGTCGAAAAAATCATGACATGAATCCTTTTGATCATTGTGTAAGTGTTAGGGCGTCCCCTGGAAGCGACGCGCTGTATAGCCTGAATACAGTGAAAAGTGTGCAAGGGCCGCTACACCGGCGCCCGGGTGTAGTGTTAAATAAGCAAGGGTTCCCACATTACGGGCGAATGCGGGTAAAGAAGTTAGTCCATGAAACTAATAAAACTATTATTAGGATAGGATCTTGGAATATAAGCACTCTCAATGGTAAATTAATGGAATTAGTTGATATTATGATTCATAGAAAAATTAATATCTTATGTATTCAAGAAACTAAGTGGGTTGGAGAAAAG